AAACTATCCTGGTTTAGTAGCGCAATAAATTGTTTCGTGTACAAATAAATACACTTCTGCTGTCGCGGATTTCCAGAACTTATTATCCGTGTAAGACTACGTACGTTTTCCACAAAAACAAGCGCAACTTCTAAGTTATGATTTACAAGTTAAAAACTTGTTTTTTTTAGTAGTTACAAATATTGGAATATTAGTATAAATGTAATTAATATTTAAGTTAACGAGATTGCATTAAAATGTTGAATTATTACATTTCAATTCTGTATAAATCAAGTATATAATAAGTATATTTTATATGGTGTGGTAACAAAAGTGCGCATTAAAACAACCACCCTTCTCAGCAGTTAGTAACAACCTAAGACACTAAAGCAGCGGTCGGGAAACTTTTTTAACCATTACCATATTTTTGCGTAAGTCGAAATTACCTAAAAAAAAATCAATGTAAATTTTAAATAAACATTATTTATTGAATTAATTTACATTTACATATTTATAAAAAAAAGTTACATGAAAATAGTAAGTATGTAATAGACAATCAAAATAGAATTATTAAATTGGAACAAACAAAAATTAGAAAAATTTCCCTATTACCCAAAAAAAATCATTTTTACCCCATTTGAGGTAATTTACCCCGGTTCCCCGACCGCTGCACTAGAGTGTATATGGAAATACATATTTGTCTAATGATTTATATGTATTTATGAGCATTTCGCGTAGTTGTTTTACTGCGCGCTTTTGTTTACGCGCATTTGTCCTGTTCGCTTTTTTGTGTCACCAACATTAATTTGTAATTATTTGTATAATTGTTATTAATAATAGTATTCATCCAATGAAAATAATTCTTGGCTACATTTTATCGATTTCCAATGTTTTTGCCTATTTTCAGCCGTAACTAAATAGATTGTTGGGCAAAGGTTCAGTGAATGACAAATATCTAAGTATGCATGCAATGTAGTAGCAACACGCAAGGTTACTTTGAATGGCACACGAAATGCCCGTGAATATTCGATAAAATACCATTTATTTTTTCTTGGTAATTTATAAAAAGTCTATTAATACCTTGAAAAGTTTGTACTATACTCACTAAATGTAAATAATAATGAACAATTATTATAGTATTTTATTAGTAAGAAATAGTACGGTTATAAATTGAGAAATCGACATACAATTGAAAAAATATAGATACTTAGAGTAATTTTTTAACTTGACTGTAATAAGTAGTTTATATCAATAAGTTTGTAGAAAAACTGTTAATCCTGATTTTAATGTACATTTCAAGTCATAATTAATATACAAATTTCTACATATTCATAAATTTTAAATTTCCCGGGAATATAAAAATTCATCCATTTCAGAAATTCATAAGTTGTTGAATTGTTGTCTTGGAAAGTTTTTCCTGGTAGAATTGGTAATATATGAACGTATTTTCAAAGATCTCTTCCGTATTTTATGTTTGTATTTATTCAGCTCCATTCAAATGCCCGGCGAACAAGCGGACTGACATTTTTGCGGTAAAATGAACCGGAATGCGATAACAGTTCGCTGCAAAAACAAAAGCCACCGCCTGGAATCTGTTTCAGCGTTTGCATTTGTTTCCCCGGATGGAAAACAAAACAGAGGCCCCCATTCTCCGGAGTCTGGAACCAAAAAAAAAGCGCATATATACACGTATTGAGACAGAGAGAGAGATAAAATAAGTGTGTATGAGAAGGAGAGAGAGAGAGAGAGAAATAGGGATGGAATAGATGGTTTTCGGTTTGTAGGTTCGAAATCGAAAGGGAATAAATAAATTATGCGGATCTCTTTTCCTCAAAAGTCAATCGGTCGTAATTTTTATCGTTCAGAGATTTCTGACATGCAAATTAATTGGGATATCTTTATGGGACATTCGTTTTCCGCGAAGCGTGCGCCCTTTCAACTTTTCGTCGCGAGTTAACAGCCGTTAAATGTCTCGGTTATATAATTAAGGGCCGTCCGCCCTCTGCGGCATTCGAGCGGCTGTTGCGTGTCCTCATCCTCATTACCAATCCTCTACCACCCTCTGATGAGACACAACTTACCAAGCGGATGATCGATGCTGGTTGTTGTCAACAAATTTACCCATGCCGCAAATGCAATTGATCAACAATGAGTTCACACTCACGATCCACAAATTGAATATTTGATATGTATTTATTATTTTGGTTTCAATATACATGCACAGCTTGTTCATCCTTCCTAGTTTTTTGTTGTTGTTCATTTATGGCTTAATGCTTTGCAGAGCTTGTCACCTGCACCCTCATTCATGTGTATGATTTATCCGTGACATTTATGTAATCATCGCGCGCTAAATCTACTACATCGCCGAATTTATCCAACGCTCTTATTGATATTTTAATCAATACAATTTTTCATTTTGTAAAGCTGCGAGCATCCATATGTTTTGCAATAATAATTGTCAATGTTATGACAACTATAATTCATGGAGGTTTATGTGATACGATTTATGCAATAAAAAAATATTTATTCTACCTCATATTCTATTCATGGCACAATCGTTACTTTTTCAATAATGTATTTGAAGAAGAGATGATTTGTGTATTTATTTTTAAAAGGATCATGTGAATATTATACATCTTCATCCACCTTCACAATCAGATTTATTTAATACATTTTAACATGTCGATTATATAAGGATGTTTAACAAAATTTTATTTTACAAGACTGATAATCATTAGATTAACTTTAGAATGTAGATTATAAATACCAAAGGATGTTGAACAAAAAAAATACATTACAGTGCACGTTTCGTTGTGATGCCACAAAAACAGTTGGAAGTTGCTCGGGGACATTTGGGTCTCCGCTGAATTTCTTTACCTGAAGGAACTTCTGTGCACTGGGGTCCCACAAAAAAATCCAGAAAAGTTGCAAGTTCTTCCAGACAGGAATGATGGAGCTGACCAATAGGTATATATACTAATCTAACAAAAATAGAGACAGCTCATGTTATATAACAAGTTGTATTTGTAAATGGATTTTTTTTCAGGTTGCAATTCGAAATTGAGTTACATGTTTATATTATTTCTTAAGATTTTTAATATTAGTTATGAATATAAAATTCTCATAATTATGCTCTTTTTGATAATGAATAGTCGAAAGCGTACTTCTTCCACTTCAGATTCTATATTTGTCTAGCAATGCATCTTGTTAAGATTTGTAAAAAAAAGATCAACGCTTTCAAACCCAACGCGTTTTTTTTTGTTCACTCAGTTTTGCCGATCGCATGAAATTATTACGACGAAAGATTTTGCCGTCGCGTTTCTCTTTCATCACTGAAATTGCTCGGAAATATTTGCAGATGCTCCCGAGGCGTTATTTTAATGATTTTTCCCTTTTTACTTTCTTCAACTCCTTCCGTCGTCTTATTCATTTTTAACACAGCCTTCCACCCCCTTCCACAAAACTTCCGTTAAAACGCAATTTTGTATTTGCAACAACGCGACCAGTTTTTTGTCAATATTCGTAATATTGCTGAAAGAAAGAAAGAAAGAAAAAAAGAAAGGGCAGGAAAAGGAAATTAGGCGGCCGAAGGTGCAGAGCGAGTTTTAATTTTAGGAAATTCATTTCGCTCCTCGTAACTTTTTTTTTGCCTTCCTTGCCCTAATTAAACTACGGCCACTCGTTTTGTTCTTCCGCTGATTGTTTTTTCTTCTTCTTGTTGCAATCTTGCTCTAGTTAGGGGATGGAAATAATAAAATTTGGTATACGAACTTAATCCGGCTGCAAATAGTTGCTGAAATTTACTTCAAACCGAAGTTGTTCGGAGTCTTTTAATTGCATCTATCTAATTGCTAAAAGAAATCATCAACAGTTCTCTTAGTTTCTGTTGGCCGGAAGTAAAGTGTATCAAATTGTAGACTGGTTTTATTTGATTGCAGTCATTTTATTGTCGATAATGGATGTTATCACTAACAACTGGAGAGAGGAAGAGACGCGCGGCGCAGTTGAGTATTATCAAGTTACATAAGTTATAAAAAGCGGTGTGCATGTGTTCTTCTCTTCTCTTCTCTTCTCCCGGATGAACGGAGGAAAACGGTGTGATTAAATTACATTTTATATAACATTTGTTTTGTGGGAAGGTGACGGGGGAGATGTATTAAACGAAGTTGCACGTTTTATTGCGCTTCTCATTTATATCTCACCAAAATTCATATACCTTTCTTCGCTATCATTTTTTTTTACTCTCTCCTCGCCTCTACGTATATATCATATTATTGCACCCCGAGTGGGAGAATATGAGGAAAACCGGAAACACCGAGGCGGAGTTGTAAATTTGAATAAACACACAGAGCGCATTTCTTCGCATTCACCTACTGCGATTTCCTTCCTTCATCTCCCTCTACTTGGAGGGATTTCTTCCCTTAAGTACCCCCATTAGACTGAGATAGTCTCTGCCTCTCATCTTCTTATTTTCGCACTCCCCTCGGAGTTAGTGCGTACGGAATTCATTATTTCCATCTGCGAAAGAAACGGCGTATCCATCCCCTCTTTTTTTTTGTAATTCTTCTTTTAACTATGCGAACCGGTTGTTTTTATTGGAGTGTTTCGTTTTAACGTGCAAATAATTGTTTAATGCTTTCTTAACGTCATTGGAGGTAGCTACAACTTTTCTGTTTCAGAATAATTGTTTTTTATTAAGTTCGCTGAAAGCTTCATTCCCCTTTCGGTTTCATTTGCATGAAAATGAAATTTGTTGGAATAAATTTTGCTACGTCCCCCAAGACTGATGAAACATAAAAAAAATACAATTTGTTTAATACGGTTAACTCATTTGTGCTACAGACTTGAAACATATTCAATTTGCAACACTTTACATATAAACATTTTTTTTAACTTCAGAACAGATTATAAAACATTATTTTATATATGTTCATATTATAAGGATTAAACTAAGATTGATGTCGTAAAAGCTGGGTGGGTCAAACAGTCCTTTAGTTTTAATGTTGTTATCCGACTACTCTTCAGATCGAAGATGAACTTTTAACTGCATCAAAGTTGGTGGAATTTATTTATATGGAAAAGGAAAGAAGAAACACCTACCGACAAAATAGAAAAAGAAAAGAAAAAAGGATCAGTGAACAAGTATATTGGAAGTAGAAAAGGAAGGCAGCTGCTGCAGTTCTGCGGAACTTTGTCCATATTTCATGAACGCATTCGAATAGCGTTTAAAATTGGGATCGGTCTGAAAATTTATTATTACTTGTAGCGATTTCCATGGGACAGAAATGAAGACGCGCGAAGATAAGAAGAAAAAAAGTTGAGAAATAAAAACAAAAAGGTTGAGGATGATTAATGGGAAATGTGTTTGTAATTGAAGCTGGCTTAGTGTTGGTATGAGAGAATGAAGTTCAGTCGTGGTTAGCAGCTGATGCTGGCAAGAAGAGAGTTCAAATGTGCTGGGGAATCGGAGTGTTCTTGCGGGTCTTAGCCAACTTGACCAATCGAATCTGCAGCGACATCTCCGACGGTCTCCAAAGGATGTGTTCGATTTGTTTTTGCTGGGTGGGAGGATCCGGGTCTAATGTGCATCCGATGACCGCCGGTTGGTATAAGGCCAGGAACCAAGTTTCGTCCATTCTTTGCGATTTTTTTGTAGAGTACACTGAGAGCGGATACAAGGATGAGTTTTACAAGGACGTGGATCGGGAGACTGCAGAGGAGATGCTCGGGCAACGGCAGGATGGGACGTTCCTGGTTAGGCCGTCGACGGCGACGGACAGCGTCGGGACGCTCTCCGTTGTCCAGGACGAGAGGACGTTCCACTTGACCATCCGACGGCGCCGGACGGACGGACGCCTCGCGCTCGGCACCCCCAAACCAAGGGAAAGAACCTTCGACGGCCTCGACTCCATGATTAATTACCACGTCAGCAATTACCTGGTCCTCTTCTCGCACAACAGAACCTTCTACACCCTGCTTCTCCCTTACACAGCCGCACGCAAACTCGATTAACAATTTAAATTCAAATTCAATTGGATTACGTCTAGCATAAATAAATTACATTTACAAGTGAAATTCGCTGTTTCCTCAAACAAATACGCATACACCGAACCGAAGAGAATAATCAGAAGACACAAAGCAACATAAAAATACCAGAATTCCAATTCAATCGCAAACATTACACGTTATAAATATACATGTTCATGATGTAAATATACAAGGTAGGATAAAAAGCCATTCCATTTTAGTTATCTTTCGGACTTTGACATAAATGAAGTAACAACAGACTAAGGCAAGAATTACACGATTAATATTATGAATGATACCGTTTTATGACTTATTGAGCTATAATTAATACATATTTTATTATCTTAACCTCAAGACAATATCCCATTTCTCTCATATTTATTATAAGTATAATTTCTGTGTAATTGTGACATAATATCATGGCATCTTGTAACACAAGAGACATTTGTTTTCCAATTTTTTTGGAATAGTAGAATCAATGTCAAAGTATGTTTACTTTTATATAATACATAAAATATGATTAATTGCTTTGGTGGGTTGTGCGTAATTTCGTTTAATTTTCAGGGTGCGTCACTTAAAGCGAAATCTCATTAGTTGAGTTGATGCAATCTGCAAGGGCGACCCTAGGCATTTCGGGTTCCATTCAAATACAACAAATTAATGTCTGTCCCTTCGGCCCTTCTCCTCCTTCTGCTACTACTTCCATTTTTTTTATATCGCTACGCGCGACGCCAATTTGCAGATGAAAAGAAATGCTTCAGTTTCCGCTCCATCCAATTAATTGCCACTGCTTCGCAGAAATGATTTACCCAATTTCTTCTTTTGCGATAAGCATCCCCATATATTTCGAGATTAAAGCCAGTCCTCTCTTGATCACGCATCATCTGTCTTTTTCACGATCTATACTTGTTTGACTTCCAACACTTGTCGAAACAATGTTGTTCATAATCTTTCCAAAGAAGGATGTTATTTATTATAATTAATTTATCCTGTAAACTGGTTATTCTTGACTTTAATGATTGAAGATAAATTATATTTTATATAAGTGATACCGGTGACTTTAAGCCAAAGGTTGAAAGTACCGGATATTACAACTAGTTTAAAATCCACTGGTACTTGTCACCATTCCGGTATATTCCAACGCTGCGACGTATTTGGTACAATGAATGTATTTATTTGCTCGAGTAAGTTTGAAATCTATTCCAATTCGATTTCCTGGACAGCTTCGATTTATCCGCGTCTCATGGACATCACCCATATCTGCAGTTGAAATCTACTTTCACGAAGTTAAAATAAAATAATTGATTTACTCTTAGTGTTTAATGCAATGTTAATCCTAGTTGGCATATCCTAACATTGTTACACGCGTGGCGTCTGAGAAACTCCGTTAAATATAACGTAGTAATTAATTTATATTAGTGATATTAGTAATGTTTATAAACAATGACAAATAAAAACTTTTTATGTTGTTTCAATTAATTTGTTCAATACTGTATATGGTTTAATCACCAAAACTACTATTTTTTAAAATGGTAAAGTAAAATATTATAAAACCACTATTCGCGTGGCGTCTGATAGACTATGATAAGAAAATTTTATTGTTAATTCTTCAACGCATTACTATGTGCTTTTACAAATTGTCATTCAATATGAAGAAGGATGGGGTTGCCTCACGTTTTAAAAGTTATGGATGGTTTGTATCCACTTTCGACTCATAGACGCCACGCGAGTAATGGAGGGTTAAGAAATGTGTATGTATTATGAATAAGTTATTATTCGCAAGTTAAAATAAAATAATTGATTTATTCCTCCTGTTTAATTCAATGATTTACATAAGAAATTCGTATTTCATGGATAAAATAACGAATTCTTTTATGACTCCGTATTGCCCATATATTATGCTTTGGATGGGTTTAAATGGAAATGTATGTTGATTGTGTGTTTTGGGGACAAAAGAAGGAAGGGTCGTAGGAACAACGGCCGTTTAATGTGGTACGAATCTTGCGGTATTACGCAAATCCAGACCATTGTTTTGCAGCGGGAAAATTGATGTTTCTTCTTTTTTTCCTCTTTTTTTTCCAATAAAATTTACTATGTTTGATTTCGACGGGTCACCAAAGTTTAATTTCATCATGCCGCTGCAACAATCAATGTTCGAAATCACAATTCCATATTAAATCAGTTCGGCAAATTGATTTCCATCTCTTTTCCATGTACAACTCGGAATTCGTTGCACTAATCTAATACAGTTTAAACTATATCTGAACCACTAGTTAAATGCAGTTCTCTGACGCCGTTCGGCTGCGCATTGTGTGCGCGTTATATAATTACGGCGCCTTTGTTTTGTCGCGCCAACGCTAAATACCGAACGACGTGAATTTCGTAAGCGCTTTTCCATTCAAGCATATTTAAAAAAAAAATGCGAATCAACATCTTGCTTCATTTACTTGATTTATCGTTTTGGATAACATATTTAAACGTGATTGCAGATGCAAAATACGGAGAAATGCAAATAACATAACAATAAAAGTTTCTTGATAATGTATATTCTGCAATTTACTACTTCACAAATTATTAAAGATAAATCTTAAGTTATGTTTACTTTTTTCTTTATGTAAATTATTTTAAACATAAAACTAATTAGGATATTTGTCAACAGAAAGACTACAGCTTTTCTAAATCTTATAATTAAATTACAAATTAAAAAAAACTGTTTTGATTTCTGAAATATTAAAATTTTTATGCTGTGAGATTTTATTCAATTAATGTCATCCTCGATCAAATTTCTTTAATGCTCTAATTTAATGGATGGTAAATTAAGTAGAGTAAAAAAATGTGATCACTTAAGCGATGTAATAACAATAATTAAGTGAAAAAATCTGTTTTCTTTGTTTTAATTAATTAATAAATGTCTGCGTGGACAATTTTTTTTTCTGTACGTTGTTTGCTTGTAATTTAATATGTAGTATACATGAAAGTATTGAACTAAAAGGAACTTGCACACAGACTTAACCCATTGTTCGTTAACAATGACTACCATTTCATTATTCGCATAAAGCCATTCACCGGCTGACATGTGCGTTTTTTTCTTAATTAGAAGGCTTTTGAAAAGCCCTGATGGCGATAATGGGATTAATCAATAGATCTTTTAATAATTTCAAATCCACTTGTTTCTCATTAAAATTTACTTTATTCAGTTATTATGTCCACATTTTAAGTGACATATACTGAAAATTGGTTACAACGTCACTAGGTTATAACATTTCAGAATTGGCAGTTTGTTTAACGATAGTATTAGATATTTTTGGTTAGGATATTATAGGTTAGGTTAAGTTTAAATTTTGCTATATTAGATCAGATTGTTTAAGGTTAAAGTTTAATAAAAGTTCTAGAGTATCAGAACTATACTGATACTAGTTGATATTTTTGCACAAACTCCAGCACAGAAAAAAAACATTGATTTTATTTAAAAAAAAACCTTCACTTATAATAATTAAGCACAAAAAATAACATAGAACTTATTTTTCAACACATTTGAAAGCCCTCATGGCGAAAATGGGATTTAATCAATAGAACTTTTAATAATTTCAAATCCACTTGTTTCTCATTAAAATTTACTTTATTGAATGACTATGTATACATATTAAGTGACATGTACTGAAAATTGGTTATAACGTCAGTAGGTTATAACCTTTCAGAATTGACAGTTTATTTACTGAAGCTATGTCTAACGATAGTATTAGAAATTTGTGGTTAGGATATTATAGGTTAGGTTAAGTTTAAATTTTGCTTTATTAGATCAGATTGTTTAAGGTTAAAGTTTAATAAAAGTTCTAGAATATCAGATCTATTCTGATACAAGTTGATATTTTTGTCCAAACTCCAGCACAGAAAAAAAACATTGATTTTATTTTAAAAAAAACCTTCACTTATAATAATTAAGCGCAAAAAATAAGATCCAGAGTAATACAATGTATTACTCGTCAAGTGCAGAGTAGATATCTTACTTGTATGGTTATATAATATAATTCTACATATTTAAATACAAATATACAGCGATAACTTTTAGCTAATATCACTAGATTACTGAAAATTCAATAAATACTGATGTTTGCAAAAATTGGTTAATTTTAATCAAAATAATATTTAAAATGTTGTAGAAAAGTGCGAAAATTCAATTATGTAAGGCATGTTTCTTCTTTTAAACAAAAATTATAGTTAAATTTTGTACGTAATATCAAAGTACATTACATCATGAGATGTGCAGACATGTTGGGTGTGGGCTTTAAATTTAATTCCGGGCATAAAATATGTAAAAGCTGGGGAAAAAGTGGAGTGTCTGTGTGTTGGAGAGAAAGAGAGAGAAAAATATGATATTTTTCCGTTCGTCCGTTATGAATCTTACGGGATTTCGCTGCTGCACTTCGCATAAAAGATGGATGGGTTTTTTGTTTCAAAAAATAATGTGACTTTTTTTTTGTTAACGGCACTTCTTCGGGCAGTTCCACCTATATAATTATATCCTGCTCCTCCTGGTCACAACTTTTGTATAAATATATTATACGAATTTACCGCAGTTACATAATAAATATAAAAAAAAATGTGGAGCGTCGCGTGGACGTTCTTCTTTATACTGGATTTTTTTTTCTTCTGCAACGGAAGAGAGGAGGAGCAGGAACTTTTGTGAAGGGTGAATTTGTGTCAAACTTTAGTCGTTCCGCAAAGTGCACAAGGTTTTAATAAAAGTGTAACTTTAGGAGGTGAACAGAGGCGGAGGGAAATACTAAAAAAAAAAAAAATAATAAGGAAGAAAGGATATGTACTGGTTGATGTTTTTTGTTGCTGCTGCTCTTGTTGTTGTTATATAATAAAATTTGTGTTTAGCGAAGTTTAATGGTCGATTCGAAGGTTTCGGACAAGTTAATGGGTGGTGCTATGTCATGGAATGTTCGAGCAACCCTCCAAATCGCTCCATTCTGCTAAGAACGTTTATTATATTGATAGA